ATTTCTAGGGGACCAAAGCACACTCAGTTGCCCAGATGCTTGCAAGTGACATAAGTGGAATTATAAGATAATGTAATCATAGCATATAGCATTGTGCCCTTACTTAGTTTAAAGTGAAACGTTTAAGCTAAAATACATTGATATTTTTGTCCCTATCACTTATTGCTTTTGACCCGAAATTTCTCCAAAGTAGAATTTGGCCCTTGGGCTAAAAACAAAACCAACCTCCCCCACCATCCCCAGTCCTGCTTTAAAGAGAGGTCAGAACCAAAGAATTTTGGCTACAAGGGTGCTTGAAATGGTGAGCTGGTCTGCTCATAGCACACCATTTTACATCAGCACTGGTAACAATTTGTTATCAGATTAAATTTAAAATGTCACTATTGACATTACTCAAAACTCTAAATTGTTTTTGCCAAGATTATTTTAGGAGCTGCCTATGCCTACCTGAATTAGCCAAAACCTTTGGAAGTAGATTAAAGGCTCCATAAACCAGAGCTTAAGGTTAAAACTAGAGGTAGGGTTTTCATAAAAGTTACTCCTTATGGAAATGAATTCCCAGGTAAGTTGGCCAAAGTGCCTCCCTTTGTGGTTATAAGTGTTTTCCTGTTGATGGAAATGCACTGGTTTTACTTGGCTTCTGGTTTAAACTGATGTTGCTTTCATGACATTATATCATTAGATTTTTAAAGTGCATAGCAAATAATTTCAGGCAGCCCTTTTATTTGGCAAGTGGAAACACAGAACTAAAACAGAGTCAGGAGGTTACTCTTGATATTCAACTGGAACCTGGTTTGCAGTAACTTAAACCCATTTTTCCATGTTCTGCACTCTGGGATGATCCTTATCTCTAAGTTTATAAAATGAAGAAATATTCAGATCAACTGTGAAATGGCTCTAAAATGTTACATACTATCTGCATCTTGGCCAGCAGCCAGAACAAAGAATAAACTTGATGCACATCAGTGCCCAGTGGAAACCAGGACCCAACTCAGGCTCTGCAGTATTCACTGAAACATAGAGACAGAGCCATAGAATAGAGTTGGAAGGGGCTAATAAGGCCATCAGGTCCAACCCCTGCTCATTGCAGGACTCCTCTAACAGAGGACTGGCCAGTTGCATCTTGAATGTCTCCAACGTGGAATTGCCCACAGCCTCTCTAGGTAATGGTTCCATTGTCCTATAGCTTTAACAGTCACAATGTTTTTCCTGATGTTCAGCCAGAATCTGGCTTCCTGTAGCTTGAGCCCATTATTCCATGTCCAGCACTCTGGCATGATTGAGTATAGATCTGTCACTCCTCTGTGTGACACCCTTTCAAGTACTTGAAGAATGCTATCATATTTCCCCTCAGTCTTAAGGCAAAACATTCATAATTCTTCCCTTCTCTCCATACAGGTTTTTCCCCCAGTCATATGATCTTCTTTATTGCCCTCTTTTTGAACCTTTTAAAAGTTTGTCTGCATCTTTCTTCAAGTTCGGTGCCCAGAAGTGGACATAGTACTTAACCCAGTCCTAATTGGTGCTGAGTAGAGAGAAACCAGTGCTTCACTTGATTTGGTAATGTAACTCTAATTAATGTAGCCCAAAAGAGCATGTCTACTTTTTGCAGCCACATCACACTTTTACTCATATTTAGGCTGAGATCTGAGGGATTCTGAGCAACCTCTTGCTTGTGGTATTTTTGAGTAAAGTATTATTTTTTTCTAGGTACAGAATACGGCATTTGTCCCTGCTGAATTTCATTCTGTTATTTTTATCTAAGTAATCCAACTATATCAAGATTAGTTTTATTTTTATTTTTGTCCTCTAGAGTATTAGATGTCCCACCCAATTTTGTGTCTTCTGGAAATATGATCAGCATTCCCAGTACCCCCTTATCCAAATCATTCATAAATACATTGAAGAGCACTGGGCCCAGAACTGAACCCTCTGGTACCTCACTTGTTACCTCTCCCCAATCTGAGAAGGTGGCATTGGTAAGTTCAGTTCTGTAGCCAGCTGTGGATCCACCTGATAGCTGCTCCATCTCACCCACTTTTAGCTTGTTTGCTCATCAGAATTCCATCAAATCATGGAATGATTTGTTAAAGCTTCACTGAAGTCTGTATATATTATATTCATAACATTTTCACAATCCATTACCCCCCACCCCCCAAATGAGATTAGATTGATCTGGCAGGATTTGTTTTTCTGGCAGAATGTTGGCATCTAGTAATCACTGCATTGTTTGCAACATGTTTCCAAACTGACTGCTTTGTGATCTGCTGCAGAATTTTCTCAAGGATTGATGTCAGACTACTGGTTTGTAGTTCCTAGACTAGTTGCTTCCCTTAGCCCTCCTTCTGGTACTTCACCATCTTCCATGGTTTTTCAAAGATAATAGAAAGTGGTTCTGAGAGTTCTTCTGCCAGTTCCTTTATTAATCTAGAATGTAGTTCATTGGGACCTGAAAATTTGAACTCATTCAAAATAATAAGGTACTCTTCTACTATTTGCCTATCAATCTCAAGCTGCAATCTTGCCCCTTCAGCTTGTACTTGTACTTTGTCATAGACCTTATTTTGGGAAGAATATAAATACCTAAATAAGTAGCTAGGTATTAACTAGAAGTAAATATCTAATGAAATAGAATTCAACATTCTTTCTAATCTACTTCACAGATTGTACTTTCTCAGCCACAACTACCACCCAAGGATGTTGTGATACTATTCTGTATTACTGAGCTCTGGGTGTGAGGGTTTATTCAATGTATTGTACTGAGTGCCATATCTCTGACTCTCTGCCAGCTGGACAGAAGCCTGAGGGGTGCTCTGTGTAAGGAGCTCCTGGCTCTCAGGGAGCAAATTCCTTTCCTTGAAGAAAATGTGGCAGGCCTGGAAAAAATGAAGAAAGGCAGAAAGTTTGGCTGATGAGACTGCTTCTCGGGGACCAAACAGAAGGAGACATATCCTCTGGTCATCCCTCCATTTTGGAAAATTGGCATTAAAACAGCAAATGTGGTTTAGTGTACACAACTGTAAAGCTATTTACCCTAGGTCCAAAAAAAAAACCCCAACCCAACTTTGAATATAAATTAATGGGATATGAAGTGGCAGTGACTGACCAAGAAAGGGAGGTTTTGGAGGACACTTTGATGTACATCTGCTATGCAAAAGGCAAAATCCTTATTAGGCATAGTTTGGAATGGCATTGAAAATAAAACTTCCAGTGTTTTAGAGCCCTTACGAAAATCTAAGGTGTGACTGCTTTAGAATAATGTGTGCAGTTCTGGTCACTGTGAAGGAAGAATCACTACAAAGAATATTGTACAGTTTGGAAAGGTACAGAAAGGGACAATTAAAGTAATCAAGGTGCTGGAGCAACTCCCTGCTGAGGGAGGTTTACAGATGCTGGTACGTTTAGCACTGAAAAGGTTGAGTAAGGGGAAACATGATAGAGGTGCACAGAATTATGAATGGCGTGGAAAGGGAAACATGCTTCTCCCGTTTTTCATAATAATAGAACCTGAGCTTATTCTATTAAGTTGAATGGTGGGAGAGTCAGGACAGATAAAAGGAAGCACATAGTTAAACTATGGAATTTACTTGTATGAGATGTAGTGATGGCTACCAATTATGATGGCTTTAAAAAGGGACTGGGCAAATTCAAGGAGCAGAGGTGTGTCAATAGCTATTGGTCCTGATTGCGCTAGGCTTCTTCTGCTGTTAGGGGCAGTGCACCCATGTACCGCAGTCGCTGGGGAACCTGGGCAGGGTGGCTCAGTCGCACTCGTGTCCTGCTTGTGGGAATCCGATTGGCTTCCCATTGTGCCAACAGTATGCTGAACTTGGTCTGAGCCAGCTTCTCCCTGTATTAGTTCAGTTATTCCAAAAGCAGCTTCAAATACCACATGCTTAGTTCTTTCTGCATCAGCCTACATCTTCAGCGCATCACTCCACTACGCCGAGGCTCAATGAGAAGCGCCTTTCACTTGCATTAGTTCCTGAGGGGAGAAGACCGCGCTCAGCGCTGCGCCCCGGGAAAGCGGAGCCCGCGCCGCAGGGCCACCGGCGAGCTCCGCCCTCGCACCACGCTCCTGACGTCCCCCTCGCGGGCCGCGAAGGGAGCATCTCGCGCCCGAGCCCCGCCCCTTCCATTCTCCCCGCGCTCCAGGGACACTCCCGCTCGCCCGCCGGGGAGGCGAACTTTCCTGGGGAGGCTCGCGCCCGCAGCACGAGCGCCTGCTTCGCCCTCTGCGCAGCGCCAGGCACAGCTCGCCCGCGTCCCAGCCTTGTCCCCGCGCGCTGCCTCAGGGGCGCTCAGCACCAGCAGGAGCCGCCGCTCAGTTTCCCTCCAGAAGGCGAAGCAGCCCCTCCCTCCAGCCACGCCTCGGATGGACCGCCTCGCGCCCCGCTCGCGCCTCCGAACAATAGCGCCCGTCCAGTGGGCGCCGCTTGCCAGCTCGCCGCGGCGTCTCCCTCTCCCTCCCCCTCCCTCCTCCAGGCACCTACCCAGCCTGGGCAGTCGCGCTTCCCTCCACGGTCCCCTCAGCACGGCTCGGGTTTCCCCTGCACCAGCCCATTGATAATCCAGAAGCCCACCTCCCGCCCCCTCTCACCATTCACAAGTCCCATTCACAGGCTGGGCTCCCTTCGCCGCGCGCGGAGGAGGCACACGCGCACCGCCGCTCGCCTTCCCCCACCTCCCTCCCCCACGCTCTGCCCGCCCGCACGCCCGCCCGCAGCCTTCCCGAGCAGGGTCCGGGCAGCCGCCGGATGCTTCGCTCGGCGGCCAGAGCGCCCTCCTGAACTCCTCCTGTGGGGCTGGGGCAGAGGGGCGCCGCCGCCGAGGCTCTAACAAAGGGATTTGGCCGGTGCACGAGGCGAGGGTCCGTCCGGATGCGGTGAGAGGGACCGCTTGAGCCAAGGGGGAAAAGGCAGAAGCAGGCGGCGGCGGAGGAGGAGGAGGAGGAACAGGAGACGGACCAACTGCGCTGCCGGTATCGCTGAGCTTTTACCATGGGCTGCTGCTCCGGGCGCTGTACGCTGATCTTCCTCTGTACGCTGCAGCTGGTGAGTAATTGCCCTTGCCAAGGATGCCGCTGGTTTGGGGTTGCCTTCTCCGCTGAGTGTTGCGGGAAAAGAGAGGAGAGGAAGCGAAGCGTTCTCCTTTGCTGCGCCCCCATTCCTACCCCCTCCTCCAGTTTCGTATCGATTGCCCTATGGATCCCGCCCCCCAAACCGGCCGCTACTTTCGGATTGACTGATTCATCCATGAGCCGTCGAGGGAATGATCCTCTCTGCTACAGTTGCCCGTGTGCCAAGGCTGACTGTAAACACGAGCCCTCAGACCCAGAGCAGCAGCGCCCAAGGATGGGGAGAGGAAGAGGGATTGCACGGGTGATCCCTCTTGCTTTCCGGGCATTACCAACTTTCCCCGGAAAAGGGCTGTCCCAAGTGCAAGGCAACTGGCAGCCTCCCTTGCTCCCCTCCATGGGTATCACCTTCCCTTGTCAAAGGATGAACCCCTTTCCTACCGAAGCTCCGGGAGGTCAGCTACTGGCTTGAGCCAGGGAGCAGCTCCCGCAAGGACGAAGCAGTGGCAAGGACTGGCTTCGTGCATGTCACAGTTGCTGAAGGATTGTTCCCTCGGTAGAGAGGGAAGGAAATGCCTCTTCAGTGTTGGCTTTGTTAAATAAATGCCCAGCTCTGCTTTGCCTCCCCTAATCCTTTCCTGGGTCTACAAATATCACGATGGAGTGTGTGTTCAGAAGTGTTCACTCTGGAGCAAATGCTTACCTTGGGAAATAGTGATTCCTGGCTCCGCATGTTGCCCATGAGAGCAAGTTGCTCCCTTTCAGAACCAGACCAAAAATGTTTATGTGTTGGATCCAAAGTATGTATGTCGTCTTTGAATGATGCTGTTCTTCCAGTGTAAGGGAGGGTTCTGGGTAATGCACTCTGGTTTTCTCATTAGTCTCTTGTAAATTGGTGAAGGTGTCCAGTGACCATCAGCTCCCATTGATTTTGATTCTCATTCTGGATTCATTTCAAGGCACTTTAAAAGTATCTGTGTGGTGTGAGGAAAACGTTTTGTGTTTAAATCAGATATTTAAATATTGCACAGTTCTATGGAATCCTCGCTTATTCCATTGTGTCAGCTTGACAGCTGGGTATTAAAACCACTTTGTGATCTATACGAGGTCAATGTGTTCAGACAGCATTTGAGGCTCCAATGATGAGGGCTATGCATGCCTTTAAAAAAATCTCTTCAGGGCTACAGGGCAAGATCTTAACTTTGTTCATAGCTGAGGGACTTTCATCCTTCTAAAGTTGTGTTTGATAATACAGTTGAAAGAATTGTATTCTTGCATCATATTTATTGGAGTCTTGCCATTCATTTTCATATTATCTTGATTAAAATGCAAAAAAAAAAAAAGAAAGAAAGAAAAAAAGAAATAAGATAAGGACACCTTTCTAGGTATTTCCTTAATGCAGGCTCTATCTCTGTTGTGCCTAAATGGCTAAAGGATTGGTTTGTGGTGCTGCTTGTGGAAGTTCAGTTCTCTTTTTTGAGTGAAGGGTGTGTGCATATTTCCAATTGTCACTTGGTCGTCATTTTCACCGCAGTTCGTTCCAGTGAAAACAGGAGAAGATTTAAGTCCTAGCAGAATATAAAAGAGAAACATAGTTTCCTAAGTGAACTGCTTTAGGTTATTTTAGAACATTGTTACCATTTCTAGTATTTAGCACCTTGGATTCATAATATGGTTTGATTGTTGGTTGCAAGCAATATTAACAAACAAAAGAAGGGCATTTCAGGCTGTTACTTGTTTGTACCAGGCAATGCCATTATGGAATACGCACATGATGCCTGCAATTTGGGATTTACATATCCTGTGTAAGTGGCACCACCTGATATACTGTCTGGTGTGATTACCTTTGTTTAGTTGTAGTTCTGCATCTAAAACGGGCTTCAGCTGTTTCAAGAGAGTTAATAGGATATTATGCCATGGCTAACTGTAGGTGGCATCTCGGATAAAAATGAAATGACTTAATAGCCTGCACAGTACAATCCTACAAATGTATACTTGTTAGTGAGTTCCATTTTGTTCAATGTATCTAGGTTGTGATTCCATACACAGAGCAGTCCTGTGTACAATTAGCTGGAAGCACTGAGGCTTATTTTTGAGCTAACAGATCACATAGGCAGATACTTTCTGCAAACAATTGTTTGTTTTCCATGCAAAGAAAATAGCAACATGGTTTTCTTGGTGTATTTGGGAGTGTCTTACCATTTTATGGACAGAAAAATCAGGGAGAAGCAAAACTCAGGGGAACTGCTGTTTCCTAAACTTGGTCAGACTCATGCCAGCCAGGGCAGAAGGTGGGAGCAATTGCCCCCCTCCCCCTTTGGCAATCTCAATGGGAGAAACTGTGTATTCAGTAGAAAGGGTAAAAAACTGTAACAGCTTTAGTGGATATCAGGATCCTCTCCATCAAAGGTCTCCGTCAGTTTGGAGCAGTACTAGCCTTGGGGCAGACCTCCTCTGTCTGTGAACCTCAACTCTCCATGTGGACTGAGAGATCCACAATATCCCACAGACTATCAGCCATCCTCCCTGCTCTCAATAGCATTAGACTGCTCTCAAAGTCTTTGCATGGAGAAGCAAACTGGTCATAGAGATTTCAGCACTACAAGCCATTGACTTTAGTGATGTGTCATTAAATTCATGTTATTGGGTACACTCAGGCCCGTATTTATGAACTTTTAAAATCTTGGTGGTGTTGCCCACATTAAAATAAAAATCAGTATAAGAGGATAATGACATGGCCTATGCTGTGGGATCAGTATCTTTTGCAGGGTCTCTTCAATTACTTCAAACTAAGCTACCTTCCTTTTTTATTTTTTGGGAAGACTAAATAATATAGGAATAGTTGCTTAATTTTCAAAGCGTTTTCAAGTAGGGTGCTTTTACATTAACTTTGTTGCTGAAATCATACTTAAGACTCATGAGCTGATTGGTACCTGTTCCCCATCTGTAGAGAACACCTGCATGGCCTTGTGGCAGCTATAGGGTGTCTCAATTGTAGCAACCTGCTGAGCAGATGTAGCACTTCTGGTGCACAAGGCTCCAGGCAGAGCACTTCCTTTCCCACAGGCACTGCTTCCTGAACATTTGGTTTGCTATTGAAGGGCTGATCAGACAGAATGGGAAACAATCATGCACACACTAGTTCTTGTTGGCAGTTTCCATTAGAGAGCATAGATGGCACCGTAATTTTATTTTCATTATTTCTTCTTTTTTACTATGTTGAGCTTTTCAGATGCCAGAATAACAGCTGGAGCAGAAAAAATGTGACTTTCCAGGAGTATATTGGTAGCTTGTGATTTCAGTTGAAGATGGTCGCACTTGCATGCTAATATTTAACTTAGTTTAAAACCCATCTGTTACTATGTTTCTTTTGGTGTTGTATTTTCAAAAAAGTAAAAAAATATATGAACAGCTACTTAATTTTCAAAACACTGCCTAAAATAATGTGGTTCTGTTCTAAAATTATCCTTTCCATTGGTTTATGATTGTGACAAAAATTAAACAAGGAAAGAAACTCAGCCCTTCTTTTAAAATATGGTATTAGCATAGCAGTGAAGATTATAGTGAAAGTATTCAGTTGGATTTCATGCTGGCTGTAACCCTAAAGGCTGAAAAAAGTATTAAGTACAAATAGCCACCACAGTGTGTAGAAGGCTACACATAAAACTCTTTGGAAGCATGCTGTATTTGATTATGAAACTATCAAAGGATCAAATAACTTTCAAAATTAGCACTAACTTGCAGACTAATTGTAGTTGTATTATGTATAACCTAGTGTCAAATCACTTATCATTTTTAGTGTCTGATAAATTCCCATGTAGCCAAATGGTTTTGATAGAATTAAATTTTGTTGAAACCCCCCTTGCAGTTTCTGTGTCTTTGGAACTGAAAATCAAAGCCCAATAGTATGCACAGGAACAGAGGGAGTCGCTCTTATCAGTCTGCGTGAAAATGGACAGGTCATTGATTATGGGAATTGAAGTCCAAAATTGAGGGGGGCACTGAATGCAGTTTTCCAGGATTTGGGGCAGGAATATTTCTTAATCCTAACCTGGAGAAGCCATGGATTGAACCTGGTACCTTCTGAGTGCAAAGCTGGTCAGCACTGATATTTGTTTTATTTCTGTAATGTATTATCTCTTGAATACTGGGCCAACACTCTAACCCAAAGGTTGGCAACTTTGTGACTGCCTGCCAAGACCCTTCTACTCTGTTTGACCCATTATCCTTGCTTGTGATTCCCTTACCACTGCCACCATCCTTTATCCTGCATCTGCCATACCACCTTTTCCAAACCTTGGTTCAGAGAAGAGAACACCTCAGTCCTCCTTTCTCATAGCTAAGTAGCTTTTCTTTCTTGGGCTGTAGTTTGGAAAAAGTAAGGAAGAACAGGAAAAAGACTTATGTGGTCTTGTACCTTCTCTAAATCACAACATACCATGAAGAAACAGCTAAGTGTCCTGCTTGCCAGATAGCCAAGAGTGCTATTTGTGGATATTTGGTGGCCATTTTCACCAGGGTCTGGCTTGTCACATGCTGCTTTCCCTGCCCATCAGGTGCTGCTCAGAAATCAGTAGCTGCAGGCACAAGTCAGTGTAGCCTTGTTCTAACAGTAGGAAAAGCCTGAGTTGCTGAAACACTAGCAATTGAACTGTGTATAAAGCATGTCTTCAGGGTCTATATACTAATACCCAGAAAATGGGAAACAACAGCACTCTCAATACAGGAGGGGAAAAGTGACTTGATAATTGAAACTTGGTAGGATTTATTTATTTTATTTATTTAGGAAGCTTCTATGCCGCCCCATTCACCGAAGCCTTGGGGCAGCTCACAATAATAAATAAATAAACACAATATAAAAACAATATAATTTGAGTTGACCTAGCCAGAAAATAAATAAATAAATAATATTAACAATTAAAATAATGTTTGAATAAAAAGGATAGGATGCCTCCTATGACTGTCATTCAGGAACAG